AAATACACCATTAACAAAATGCATTAGACTATATTTAGAATATTAAAAATTGATACAAATGCCAAACGCAATTTGTTCATACCCATGTTTACCTTTTTTCTACTGAATTTTTTTTCTCAGAATTGATGACAAAAACAGCAATAGATATTCAAAAGTTGAATCTTTTATATTTTCAGTAGCTAAGTATTTTACTATTTTAACATTTAGGAATCATAAACATCAGAATAAAAAATATTACTATTATACTTTATGTAAAACAAAACCAAATCTTTCCACTTAACATACATTCTAGTCATAAGCATTTTGAGCTTTCCAGGTAGAACGCAATTAGAAATGTAAGCATTGTGCAATGCCTGTTAGTGCTAAGAAATGAGGGGGGAAAGTTCTGATTACATGCGAATACAACTGAATGGTCACTCTTCCATGATTTATAATTGAGAAAAGTGTGAAAAATGTACCTTATATTTTTTAAAAACAAAATTTTAAGTCACTGAGCCCACCAATCAAATGAGGTTACAGAAGCATCATGTCAACAGTTCACAAAAGTGCTCTAAGGCCATTTCATCTTAGTTATACCACTCATCGAAGGCCAGAAGATGCTAATAGATATAATCACATAGTGCACACACACCACTTTATAATGATTACTTCTATCTAATTTATTTTGTTTTGTGGTATAGGTACCACCCCTACTTGTGGATAATGTCATGTTGTAAGTCATCTGCTTTGTTTCCAAGATTTGAACACATGATTACTTTTTATAATGAGGAAAAATAACATTTTATTCCCTCCAAATTTATCCATTTAAGTGTCTTCATTCATCCCATATTTGATAGTGAGGTAGCAGAAGTCCAGAAACCCACCCATCAACCTTAACAATTTTATTTTATGTATGGGCTCCTGAGATATTTACCAGTCGCAAGATTCCTATAAGCATTCTATTTCTATTTAAAAAAAACCCACTGGAGTCATAATTAGTGGCAGTGTTTTGATTCAGTTCCATCAAAGGGTGAAATCTGTTAACACTGAAGCATACTAGAACTAGAAATATATACATATATGTTACATATGTATATAGTTAAAGGCAGTGACCTGCCATCATTTATCAAATGAACTCATAATTCCTCATTTAAAACATTATTGTAACTTTAGTTAAAGAAAAGACATTGGGAAGTAGTGGTGTGTTTATGAAGTTGGAAAACAAAATCTTTTTAAAAAGCACTTATGGCCTTAAATCAAAGGACTGTGCTCCTTTTTTTTTTTTTAAAAAGCTATCTTTTTTTTTATAATGTCAAACACCAATACAGCAAAACAGGATGCAATTTTTCTGAATAAATAAATCAATGATGTGTCAAAAATTAACAGATGAGTTAATATACTTGGTGCTATCAAAACCAGATGGTGCTTCCTAATATTCATCCTGCTCAGTCAAACCCTGAATATTTTCTGGACCATCGGTATATAAAATAGGATGCTGCTATTTGTGATGGCAAACAAAAGCAATCATGCCTGCCAAGCACATACTATAACAGGCAGCATTTCAGCTCTGCTAGACAGAAAGTAATTAGAATGCTTTTAATGTCCAAAAGAATGATGCTGATAGGCTGCCACAGATGTGTAGATTTATGAATATTTATATGGTGGTTTATAGCTGACACTTTTATCAGTTGAAGAAGATAAAATATCTGCCTGACTCAAAAGCTTGACAGTCAGGTTAATAAAATCTCATTAAAGAGAATGACCTATGCAATTATATAGGATTTATTGTAATTCATTTTTGATTGTACTCTGCTTAAAGATGCAATTTCCCATTTCCTGATGCCAAATTTAGGCTGCATATCAAGATCTACGTGGGTTTTTAACTCTAAGCCATCCATACAGGAAAGATATGCTTTAGAAATCATGGTATGATACATGTTCAAAAGATAATTATTTTGATATTCTGTTCAGAATCATCACATGAACATAATGAAAAGAACTTGGAAATCTATTTTTATAATATCATATTTTAAAACACTTATAGTGATTTTTATTGATAGAACACTAGAGCAATCTTCAGGCATTTGCTTAACTCATTGCCTTAACTCATTAGTTTTCTGGTCATAGGATCATGTTTCCTATTCTCCAGCTTTAACTTCTATCCCTCTCATTCTTTAACTTAATCTTTGAACTATTTCAATGCATTAGGTGGACTGTCTTTTGAGAAAACATATTTTTTTTTGCAAAGTGTTTAAGTGTCTGTCTGTCTGCACACCTGCTCATTGGTTCAAATTGGAACCACTGGTTTCTCAAAGAACCAATCAGCTCTTTAGATAACTGTCCCTCAGATGGATACTTATATCCGTGTTGAGAGTTGTCTCTGTCACTCAATATCATTACTACTATAACCATAACTTGTACATACTAGATTGTGGCTTTCTTCTGTATTTTGACTTGGGCCCACCAGATCATGCTTTCCTGACTGCTGGAAAGGAGTTATCTAGTTCCCATCTTGACAATGAAAAAAACTTGTCTTCTACCCTTGATACTATTAGGCTAACCCCCTTTATGGTCCATCCTTTACTGCTGAGGAAGAGAGACAGCTTCTACCTCTGCATAGTGATACTGCCTTTATTGTTACTTAGGAGTTCAAGACCCTACTGGAAATTATAGAAATATAAGTTTAACTATGGAGGAAATCAGGAGAGAAAAAAATGGTGTCCAGGACAAGGCAAAAAAGAAAAGAATTTAATGAGCAGAAATAGAAAAACTATCAGGGTAGATAAAAGAGAAAAGATGAAGAGCAATAATTCTGGGGAAGAAATAGGAGGGAAAAACACACCAAGCAACAAGGACATACAGCAAGACATAGAAAAAGAGAAAAAGGTAAAAATGATGAAAATGAAAGAGAAGACAAAAATAAAGGGAGGAGAGACTAGCCAGGATGCAAAGAGAAGTTAAAAGATTGAAAGCAAAGGCTAAAAAGAGCAGATTTTTAAAGAGAGAGAACAAGAATTGGAGAGAAGGGATCAAAATAGAAACCAAACAGGAAAAAGTAGGAAAATAAAACATAAAAGGCCACTCCAAAACTGAGACAGAAAAGAAACAGCTAAATATAGAAAGAAAAAGGACAAAAGAATATAAGAACGTAAAAAATAATGAGAAAGCTGAGACTGAGATGAGAGGAATAAGAGAATGGAAAAGGAAAGAAACAAAAGTAGAATAAAAAAATAGGAACCGAAGGAGATAAAGTAGGCTAGTATGATTTAAAGGCAAGATGCTAAGTGGAGGGAAAAGGACAAGGAAAGAAGGAACAGAGAAGTCAGATTGTAGAAAAGAAAAAGAAATTAGACCAAGAGATGCTGACAAAATAATGAAAAAATGCACACAAAGCCTGAGCATAAAACTCATCTAAGCAACACCTGACACACAAAATTGGCTAGTGAAGCGGCAGAGCTAGTCTTCACCATAACCTATAATTAGGTTTTCTGTCTCAAAACTAATCATTCAAGTGTCAAAATATTGACAAACAGTAGAACGTTTGCTTAGGGCTCCATAACTCATGTAGGGGCAAAGTGCCCTCATTTTCAGTTAAAGAATTAGCCCATCAATCAATAAACATTTATTAAGCACCTACTATGTGCCAGACATTGTGCTTAAGGGGCTCAGCTTCATCAAGGTACAGTTTATTTGCTCTATAGAGCTATGAAAGGCCTGAGCAGGAACTTTTAGCTATTATGTGTTAAATAAAGCCATGGGCTAGACACTAAAATAATCACTCTTAGGTTTTCCCCACTCAGCTTTCTTATCTGTCCTATCTTTTCCCCAGAGAAGGTTGAAAGACTCCCTTTCTCTAGAGACTAGCACTGCAGACCCAAGGGGAAAAGGGTATTAAAAGCAATTTAGACCTCTTTATAAACTGCTTCTCACAATGCATTTCTCCTGTAAACTCTATGGCATTTGGACTGGAGAAATAAGGCCCCCTGCTGAGCAGTATTTCATATCAGACAATTCTGGTAGGCAAACACTGAGACTTCTTGGGCCTCCAGTAAAGGACCAAGAATTTCTACCAATTTCTGCCAAGAATTTTGTGATCCCCTTGGAGGTCAATCTCCTTTTCACTCAAAGTAACAGGAGCAAAAAGCAACATTTTGTGGCCAGGGAGGGGGAAGGAAAATGGGGAGAGGTATTGGAAAAGAGGAGAGGAGGAGAGAAGAGAGGAAAGCTAAGAGAAGAAAGAAGATGAGAAAAGTAGAAAGGAGAGAAAAGGAAGGAAGAGAAAGAAAAATAGAAAAGGAAAAAGAGAAGGGAAAATTTAAAAAGTGGAGAAAAATAAGAAAATTAAAAAAGAGAGAAGGAAGAGAAAAAAGAAGAGAAGAAGTGAGGAGAGAACACCGGGGAGAGGACGGGGGAGAGAAGAGCAAAGGTTAATAACCCAGGGGGCAGTGTTTGGTCAGCTCCAACCTCTAACAGAAACAGCTGTCACTCTAGGGAGCAAGCCGTTGTCTCTGAAGCCCCAGCCCAAGTGTATTGCTACAGTGTCGAGAGGCAGGCATGAATCTCGGCAGCTTCTACCTGTTAGAGGGCAATCTGGTCACTTCAAGACCTTGTCCTGAACAATCCTGTCAAACCAGCTACTAGAGTTCTTTTTCCTTGGAACTAGATTTGGAAGGGAAAAGCCACCTGTTAGGAGCAACACTTTGCGGGGAGTGGGAGGGGAGAGGAGGTGCAGAGGAGTTAGAATTAGCATCCGCAAGTAGTTTTCAGAGCCCTTTGTAGTGTGGGGTGTGCGGGATGGGGAGGCGGGAGCGAGACTGAGGAGCTCCCTAACTCTTTCTGCCTAGTTTGCACGTCCCCTTACTCTTCTCTCCGGCTCATCACCTCTAAGTTAGAGCGCGCGCCGAGCGAGGGGAGGGGTCTCCCCCACTCCCGTCCTGCTCCAGTTTTCCCTCCCACCACTTCCCCCCCACTGCTGCCCCAGGGAGGGGGTGGGAGCTGAAGTTACAGGAAAGAGTTGGTACCTGCGCTGAGCTCCAGGCTGCTGCCGGTGCCGTTGCTGCTGCCCTCGCTGCTGCTGCTGCTACTACTGCTGCTGCCTGCGGCCGCCGCCTGGCTGGCTCCGTACCTGGACACCCCGGCTGCTGCGGCCGCGACGGCTGCAGAAGAGGAAGCCAGTGGAGCAGGCGGAGGAACTGGAGTCCTCAGGTGGCCCTGGGACACGACTGGGGTGCAGGAGGGGGAGGAAGAGGAGGCGGCGGCGGCGGCTCGGCCGGGCCCGTTCGGATAGGAGCTCTGCGCCTGGTACTGAGGATGCTGCTCGCTGCTGCTGATGGAGGCAGGAGGATGCTGAAAGTGGGGCTGCTGCCCTCCTGCAGCTGCCCTGACCGGAGGGATTTCCACCATGGTGGGTCTGTCGTAGCGCTTGGTCAAGGCTGGCCTCTTACTGGGGAAGGTCTTGAGGACGCTGTAAGGGCTCCGCTGCTTGTAGATTTTGGGGAGGCTGGGCCCCTCCTCTGCTGGCTGCATCTCCTCCTCCATCCTCCTCCTCCTCCTCCTCTCCTCCTCCGGGCTGGTTTCCCCCCCTGCACACCCCCTCCCCCCTCCTGCTCTCCGGGCTCTCTATGTCTCTCCCTCTGTGTGTGTGTGTGTGTGTGTGTGTGTGTGTGTGTGTGTGTGTGTGTGTGTGTGTATATGTGTGTTTCTATGGGGGCTGCTGCTGCTCCTGCTGCCGCCGCCGCCGCCGCCGCCGCCGCCGATGCTGCTGGGGCTGCTGCTTGTCGCTAAGGCTGGCACTGCCGAGCCCCCGTGCGGGGGGCTGCTGCCGGGGACGTGATTGACAGGCGGTCTCTCCAATGCCTGGAGGGAGACGGGAGGTAAAGAGCAAGTGTTTAGGGTAATATCTGCTAATGATAATGGGGGAAGGAGGCGGGCCCTGGCATCACAGCTGCTGAGAGGGCTTGCCTGTTAGGTCTGTGCCTTTCACTGGGGGGGGGGATGAGGGGGGGACGCACTGCCCGAGGGGGAGGGGAAGGAGTAGCTAGAGGGGGCGCCCTGAAGACAGGTGAAATGAGTGTGTGACCTGGGCTAGGTGAGCCTGCCTAGCTGCTTGAAGTGGTTTGTCTTAAAGCCCCGGGGCGCTCCTCCGACAAGCCCTTGCCCCCGGGCACTTGCTGCTGCCCCTTGGACTACTTGCTCCGGGCTCCCGGAGCCTGGCGCTTTCACCCTGCTGTCCTTCTCCTCCCTCGACGCTCTGGAAAGAACCCTGCGCCCAGAAGGCGTTCCAGGGGTGGCCCGAAGTAAGCTTGCAGTGGGCACGAATCCCTGGGAAAACCTCTCTCTCCCCGGGCGCCTCTTGGCCTTCTGGTCCTGACCAATAGAAAGTGTTAAGCATCCGCCTGGGAACTTGCAGAGAAACCGAACCCTGGTCCAGCTTCTTGGGGCCAGGGCCACTTGTTAGAAAGAAGGGCTCTTCCTTCGACTTCTCCGGCCAGAGCCCTGTCTCAACCCCCACCCACTGCTTCACCTCAATGGGCTGCTCCCCCAGTCAGGAGTCTGTGGTTGACTGCGACTCCCTAGCTCGCAGCCCCTGTCCTACATCCAGCAATCTGCGCTTCTGGGCCAGGGCTCTGATTTCTGGGTGTCCTCCTCACGCACAAAGCGTTTCTTTAAAGCCCAAGTCATTTAACCTCTGCGGGCCTCAGTTTCTTCCTCCATACAATGAGGGCGTCGGACTGGACGACTCCTGAGGACCTTTTCAGCCTTATATCTATCTAACACAATCTTGCTCTGCACGTAGGGCTGCGCTCAGTTATCTCTACTGGGCTGCGTCACAGACGTCTTCTCCCTGCCCTCTGGCACCTTCTAACCCAACTTTACCATTTAAACAAGCAAAGGACACTTAACAGGCTCCACCACCGAATGACGCCTTTGGGAGAGAAGATTCGCAGAAAGAAAAAAGCTTTCATATACAGCCAGTGTTCTTTGGTAGGTAGAGGAGCTCTGAGATTTCTTTGTTGGGGCCAAGCTAAGGGCAGCCACCTCCTTTCCCCCAGAGCATTAAGGCCAGCCTTCCTGCAAGTGAGTTGGGGATAGTGGTGGTGGCTGTGGTAGTTCAGAGTAGTTTGAATAGTGGGATGGAGGGCAGAAACTATGGCCATGGAGTAAGTAGCTGGAAACCAGGCGGGTGATTAGAACAAATGTGCCTGAGTAGACACTGGTTTCTAAGAAAAAAATGAAGAAAGTGATCTAATATAAATTCATAGGACTTAGAGCTCGAAGAAGTCTCAGAAAGGTCATCTGGCACAACTCCCTAATAGTCAGAGGACACTGAAGCTCAGAGAGGTGAATAGACTTGTTAAAAGTCACACAGCTCATAAGGAGCAGAGCCAAGATTGGACTTTCCTCTACTCCCTTGCCAGTACAGCCTTTGAGCACCTCTGAGAACCTGGTCTCTCAGTCACTTGCTCCATTCTCAGTCCTTGAGTAGTCTGCAAAGCAGCATAGACTTCCTGGATCACCCATTCAAGGCCCTTTCCTATACTAAGTTCACCCTGTTCTGTTTCAAATCTAGGTCACCTTCCCCACCCCCCACCCCTTACCTTGTGTCTTCTTTACTTCCTCTAGTTTTGTGGTAAGTCTGTTAACAAACATTTGTTGATTGACTACTATGTACTAGACACTGTGTTAAGAGTGGGTGGGCACCTTTGGTTTCTGGCCCTCACATGAGGGCCCACTGCCCCTCAGCTCTGCAGTCTTGTTCTCTGAGCTCTCTTGTCAATCTCTGGGTCATTGAGTCATTTATTTTTTGTTTGATTTGGCATTCTGACCCATGGGTACTCTGCCTTCTAATACTCTCTTATTTCCAGACTCTGTGTTTTGGAAAATGTTCTTCTGGTTTTTTTTTCCTGTGTCCCTCTGCCCTATCTACCTCCCCTCTGCAGTCTCCTCAGATTGCAGTCTCTTGGTTTTTTCCCCCTTTCCATTTATTAGAGATGAAATAAATAATGCCATAAATAAAAGTATTTGGGAGTCCAGGAACTGTCAGACCTGATTAGGGCATAGAGGACATTTTCTTTCTCATTATGCAAAAGCATTTCATGGAGAAATAAAAGAGGTTTCATTGTAACTCATGCATGTCATATTTCAAGGAATTCAAGATATTAATCATATTTAACATTATTTGCAACGTTTCTCTCTGGCTTCAGAAAACTGCTAAATGAGGACACGTGGATCCCCAGGAAAAAAATAGAGACAGGCATTAGAGGGACAGTTAAGAAATAATGAAATGCTGGTGAAAGACAGGGAGAGAATGAGATGCCATAGAGACGTTTCTGAGGCACCTAAGTGAGAAATGGTGGAGATACTTCTGAGATGTGAGACAGCTGAAACTGAATGATATACTAGAGAAAATAAATGATAACAAACCTCCCAACACTTTCCTTTTCTCTTTTGTAAAACAGTTCCATATTTTGCATTTGAAATGTTCCCCCTCCCAACCAATAAGTCATAGCTTTGGAAAATGGAATCATGGGAGTAGTTTACAATACTTCTCCTTAAGAAATAATTCTCTGTTACTGGTAGTTTTCTGTTCTGATTATTTATTTTCCTCCCCCTGACCTTCTTTGTCCCATTATCACTTTTGCTTTTTAAAATGCTTAGAATGTTGTTTGTTACAGTTGACCAAATCAGTCTTGCATGTTAAAAAATGATTCTTCCTATGAAATTGACACCTTCAATAAGAGAGGAAGCTAGAAATGTTGGATCCTCAACACAAAAATCTGAAAGAGGTTCCCTGCTCCTTGTAAATTATAAATTTAACAAATCCCCTAGCCCCTGTGCAAGGCCTGTGAAAAGAGAAAGGATGTGGCAGGCAGGATTCATCTTTCTCCTTCTGACTGTTATAGCCTTTTGGCTCTCTCCAGGGCAGATTAGAGCTATCTGAATAATGGACCCATAACAGTTCCAATAACCAGACTTGTGATGAAGTAGATCATTGGATATTTTAGTGGAACAGATTTCATCGATGCATGTTCTCCCTCCACTGCTTGAACTCACAGTCCCTCCTTGTGTTATCAAGGGTTTGACTCTTATCTAAGCTTTCTCATCAAGCCTCCACCGAGGGGCCACCCAACAACTAAAAGCCTTCCTTGCCTGAGTGCTAATGTACCACCTCTTGTCTCTCATTCTTGATACATGAACAATTCCTCTTTCTTTTTTTTCCTTCTTGTTATAGTTGTCCTATATACCATTTCTGACCAACTTATAACTGATAACCATCTGAGGAAGGTATATGGGATTTAGGGAGCCTTGGTGGGCTTGGACAGTATCCCCTCTTGTGGAAACCCATGGTAGGAATTTACTGTGACTCCAGGTTCTTGGGGTCTTTTCTGTTTCTGGATTCCCATTTTTTGCAGGGGCTCTTCAGGCAGTCTATTGTCTTAGAATCATAGACTCTAGAATCAAAGGGGACATTAGAGGTAATCTAGTCTAACCTTTATTTGACAGACTGAATCTGAGGCCCAGAAAGACTGTGACTTATCTATGTCATTTACTCTTGTCTCAAAAAGTACAGGGAACTTTTAAAAGCCTGGTTACTTTTTATAGATAAGGTAATTTTTGATTGGCAAGATATCAATTCTTAGAGCCATCTAGAATATAGCTTTTAAGTAATAATACAGCTATGGGGAATGTTTTTTATTGCACCAATTTCAATCATATTTAATGAGCTTCTGATTGACTGTTTGATCTCCCAGTGTTTTGTGCTACTTTTAATTCATTTCATATAATAGAAAAAAGTAATTGGAATAAAATTTTGTGACAAGATAATGACCTTCCACTTTGAAATTAAATGTCTGATTAGCTTCAACATTTTAATGTTGAGATGATATTGCAGCAGGAACAGGGGTATGCATATAATAATTTGATAGGAAATGACTAAGAAACATTCTCCTGCCTCTCTCTCTCTCTTTACTATGACATAATAATAATAATAATAATAATAATAATAATAATAATAATAATAATAATAATAATAAAGGCATGATAGTCAAGCAAGTAGGATCTTTTCCAGCAACTCATGAGACCTGCTTTATTTCTTTCATAGTTTACTATTGGATTTTGGGAATGTCTTTTGACTTCTCTGTTCCTCAGTATCTCCTCCTCTATACTAATAGGGATAAAAGCATATCATACCATATTGTGACATACCATACTGAATGAATTGGGGGGAAAATTTATTAACTACTTACTTCATGTGAAGCGCTATGCTAAGTGTTAGAAATAAGAAGCACAAAAGCAAAGACAGCCTCTGCCCTTAAGGAGCTTACATTTTAATAGGAGAAGACAACTCATATGGGAAAGTGAGGCAGATGGAGTGGTATTTTACTTAGAAAAATTACAGAGTTGGTCAGTGGAACCCCAGGAAAGTAGATTGACATATCCTTTCTAGAAGTAATGACAGATGGTTTGATTATGGTTCCAGAACCAGTAATCGGAGGAGGTTTGAGAAGGAGAGTGACCATATGTTGCGGCTGATGAGAAAATAAGGGGGGAGGGAAGGGGCAGTGAAGCGAAATGTGTTT